AGCTGCCTCCTGGTGTTATTACTGCAACAATATTATTTGCTATATTCCTCCATTTTTAGGTGCCTTAAGTTGAAATCCCCCAGGAGCAAGATGTTGGGGGCAGGAGCTGGCAGATTTTCCAGACAGTGGTCAATTTTTAACAGCTGTTCCTGGAATTGCTGGGATGTTGCATCCGGAGGCTTGTAGACTACCACAATGACTAGGTTTTGGTTCTCGATCTTTACTGCTAAAACTTCCACTACATCAATAAATAACAAAAAAGGCACAATACCGTGACTGGAACGATACACAAATAACCCACACATAAAAGAGAGAAGCTTACGACGACGTTTCGGTCCGACTTGGACCATTTACTTTGTCAATGGTCCAAGTCAATGGTCCAAGTCGGACCGAAACGTCGTCGTAAGCTTCTCTCTTTTATGTGCGGGTTATTTGTGTATGTTTCCACTACATTTGAGGCATTAAGCAGTTCTGTGCAAACAAGTGACTCTGCAATGTACAGGCCAACCCCCCCCCCCTTTGCCTGTTCACTCTGTCACATCTGTATAGGTTGTAACCTGGGATCCATATTTCGTTGCCCAAGTGATCCTTTATGTGGGTCTCAGTGAAAGCCGCGAACATTGCATTTGCCTCTGCAAACAGTCCACGGATGAAAGGTATTTTGTTTGTTGCTGGCTTTAGACCCTGTATATTTGCAAAGAAGAATGTTTATCGGACTGGTGGTATTGTTGGTACTGGGGGGGGGTTTTTTTTCCGGCATTAGTATCTGTATCTGTTGGTTTGGAGTGGAGGCCAGTGACTGTGGTTCCACTCCAGGAATGACTAGATTTGGTGTACGATTTCTGCAATTTTTCCCGCCAGTTTTTCCTTCCTGGCACTAAAAACCTCTCCCTCTTGAGTGGCTGTGGCTACCAGGGTTTTCCCCTTTGGCCCGGATTTTTTGTATCTTTTTGTCCCCTTTAGATGGTGTGCCTGGAATTTAGTTTTAGACAGTCTTTCCTGTACTGAAGAGTTCACATTTCAGGGTGAAAAAATTAAGGAAGGGAGTTGCATTTTCCTGTTGTATAGGGCACGGATTTTTAGGGTGGATGTTGCAGTCCCATTTTTTTCCAGTTTCCCATGCCTACAGATACCAAGTGCATGTTGTGCAAGGCTTGGTTTCCATTTGCCCTTTGGGTTTTTGGAGTATTTTCCCCCTTGGTGCATGTTTACCTGTTTATTCCTATCCCCACTAGCACCCAAAAATGGGGTCTCACAGTTGTTTTTTGGGATAATTTTCCCCACTTTGCTAGTGGGGTCCTCTTGTTTGCATTTCCCGTGGTATTATAGTTTGCAAAATTTTGGGTTTTCTTTCTTTGACTACACTTGTTTCCCCACTACAGCTCCTGTCTCCCATGAGGTATTTATGTGCATTCCCTCCCGTGTATATTTTTCCCCAAATCCGGAAAATCTCCAGCTTCACCATTCTGTTCCCGGACAGCACTCCCGTTCCCATTTTGGGGCTCCGGACAGATATCAGCCCCAATTTATGATCCGGGGCAGCACCTCCAGCCTTAGTTTCGGACTAATGGCCAGCTTTTTCAAGGGCAGTACCATCCAGCCCAGATTTTTTATTTTCCCCATCTGTTGTAAAAAGTTTCCGGGGGTTTTTCTAGGAAAGGGCTTTGATTTATCGTTTTTTAAATCCCAAAGTGATTTTAGTCCCCCAGATTTCTCAGGGGGCATCCCCAAAAAACCCTTTTTCCCTGTTTTATATGCTTGTAGCTAGTTCTTGGAATCTGCAAAAGGGGCTTTGACACCAATTTCCAAAAAAAAACCCAAATTTTATCATGGGGAAACCCGTTCGTTTGTTTGGGCCTGCAACTACCCAAGAGTTTCAAAATTTTTTGGGAAAGGTTTGATTTCTGAAATTTCTACTAGAAACCTCTTGAATACTCTTTTAATAACCCCCTTTAAAAGTGAAGCTTCCTATTTGTATTTCTTTTTAAAACGGGATTTTGTATATTGGGGACGCTTCCCGGGTACGTTCCTGTTTTTATATTTTTTGGTTTGTATTTAATAAGGGTCCCTTACGACTCCACCCGGTTTACAATCTGCTTTATTGCAACGAATCCTTTTAAAAACCGGTCAAGGGTTCGGACCAGCGAGGGTTTTCGACCAGTCAAGGGTTGGGGCCCAGTCAAGGGTTCGGCCCCAGTCTGTCTGATAAAGGGGGTTTACTTTTTTAAAACTTTACTGGGGTGTTTTGGGCTAACACAGAAGGACTACGGGAAAATTTATCTACCCGAGTAAATGGGGTTTTAAATTGATACAAAAGTAAAAACTTGGTTTTGAAAAAACCATGGTTTCTGGAGCTCCTACAAAGACAAAACGGTGGACCCCAAACTCTTTTATCGATCAATGTATCTGGCTTTTCTGGGTTTTTTTCCGTCTCCCCCACAAAAAAGGGTTATTATCACTATAGTTGACTGGTGGGGGAAAATTTTTTGGAGGAAAGACTCATTTTCTTTATAATATTTGTTTTCCTCGGGGTATATTGCGACCGCTGGGAAAACTACGGGGTTATATAAAAATTCCCCAGTATACGTCTTTTTATTTCAAGAAAAGAAAAAAAAATAATGAAAGTCACTCCACCCCACTAAGTTTCATAAAATTACTGGTTAGTTGTTATTTAAAAACACTGTATTTTGCTTTTTCACTGTTTTCACTAGATTATATGCAAGGTACCCTAGCAGGCCGGGAAAGATTATTAAAAAAAAGGCGCCTTTTGTGGAAAGGGTTTCTGGGGGAATTCGGGCACCTGCCTCTTTTTTTGGCTTATCACTTAATTTAAAAATTTTCACCTGTTTTCAAATAAAACTTTCCCCTACGGTTTTGAAATGAAAAAATAAATGTATTCCCCGGGTTGGGATTGTGTCATTTTTTTTGTTTCAAAAAAACAGGAAAAGCTGAAAAGAAAAAATTCTTGTAGGATTTTGATCATCTCTGTTTAAATAAAACACACAAAGGGGGAAAATTTCTTAAAAAATTCTGCATGAAATTTCAGTTTTCCCCCTTGCCCTTTTATGGCCTTTGGGTGCAGTTTTTTTAACCCAACCACAATTTTAAGTGTGTATTAATATTTTAGATTGTTTTAGTTGAAAAAAAACAATGGCCCAATTTGGGACCAAAACGTCGTCGAAACGTTTTCTCTTTTTTTATTTGGGGGTTTAATTTGTGTATTGATTTGTGTCTTAAATTTAATGGGGATATCTTGGTAGCTTAAAATGATTGAATGATTTCAGAAAAAGGCTTATTGTGGTATATTTAAGTTTGGGAAAACGAGTTTAAAATTTTAATTAAAAACCATAAATTGTTTGGCAGATGGGGGACCTTTTTGGTTCAGGCAGTAAATTTCCCAATCTTACGGCCCTTTTTTTTTACATTGTTTTTTTTTGGAATTGGTGACATGGACACGGGGAGTTGTGTTTTGTGCGTGCCGGTTTTTTTCTGTTGTAGCTGTAAAGGAAAAGTTTGGGGAGTGGGGTTTTTTATATTGGTTTTTAATGATTTGTATATTAGTGGGACAGTAATACGAGTGCATATTTTGTATATTGAGTTCAAACTCTTTAAGAGTGGAAGGGTGTGTTGTCTGGCGCATGAATTGGTGATCATCCACACAGCAGCTTTTTGTGAGGTAAGGTTAGATTAGAGAGTGGTATAGTGTAAGTGGTGCCGTTTGAAGTACATAGTACCGTATCTTGGAAAGGATGCCTACTGTTTTGGAGACTTTCTTGGCTATATGTTGGACGTAGGTTAGAAATTTCAGGTTGCAGTCAAGGTGTAGCTCTAAAAATTTGCCCTAGTGTGTCTTGTAATAAGGGAATCATTAATCAATATGCTAGCATTTCACACTCAGTATAAAAGTTCAGATAACAGAAGCTCTGAATGATTCACAATCATTTTGCCCTTTTTGAAAGTGAAAAAAGACTGTTTCACTTTACAGCAGTAGCCCAGACCCTAACTTGCTGTATGAGTGGGGCCCTCCTGTTTGTGATTATCAGCATAGAATGTTGAAAAATTATTTAACTTAGGATAATCAGGGTAATCCAGTAGTCAAAGCCAGTATAGTACTGTAGTTATTTATGTTGGGGCCATTTTTATGTATGCTTTCCACGTGAGGAATGTTGGTTAGATTATTTAAGGAAAATGCTTACAGTCTAACTTGGTTAGAAAGATTTCTGTTACTAGAGATTAATTTTATCGTGGCACATGTGTTTAACAGTGCACAGTACTATTTATAACCATTCTGTTATAGAGCCCATACCTGCTTCATATTCCCAGTGAGGCTTCACCAGCGATTGCTAGAGTTGTACAAATTGTACATGAATAGTATACAATACCGACAAGGTGAAGAATTAGACACATACACAACATCTGGGTATCTTTATTTGTAAACGTGTCACTAATCAGCGACTAGCAATACAGTGCAAGGACATAATGTGAAGAACGTAGAATTATATACAAAAGATGAGATAATCAGTCCTTCGGCTTTCTACAGTTCTATGGTACTCTTCAACTCCTCAACTGCTTTGAGACCTGTGCCCAACCAGTTTTGAACAGTCTACCTACCTAGTCTGCATAGTGATGCTTCAGGGATCATCATCCCTGCAGCCTGGTCTCTGACAAGGCCTCGCAGCGAGATGAAGCATTGTTACAATTTATTACTTTGTCCACTTTATTATGTACTTATACCCTGAATATCATGTCAGACATAACTTGTTTTACATTGAGTTTTCTCTCTCTGTACCCAGAGATTGTCTTCATAACTATTAAGATTCATCAAAAATCCACACTTTGGAGAGGGACCTCATGACAATGTTTTGGTCCCACTGTAACTTGAAATTAATTACAGCACAGTATTTTGTAATAAAATTAACTTACATCCTGTACCTTTGTGGCCAAACTCGTAACAGCGGTGCATGTTACATTCTGTATTCAAAATATTTTTTTAATTTCAGGGGTGGGCGTGGCAAAGGTGCAGAGAGACAAGTACCAGCAGACGGTGTATACACTAATCACCGCTTCATGCAATCTGTCGGAGCCCTGGTTGGCCTTCCAGTTAGAGTGAGTCGTCTGCCTCGTTCTGTAACTCACAGATAACTCTGTACTTCCCTTGTTTTTAAACCTTATTTCTAGTCCTTGGTTTCTAAGGTTGGTTCCAGAGCTTGGCTTGAAAGCCTGGTTCCAGAGCTTGGCTCGAAAGCCTGGTTCCAGAGCTTGGCTCGAAAGCCTGGCTCTAGAGCTTGGCTTGAAAGCCTGGCTCCAGAGCTTGGCTCGAAAGCCTGGCTCCAGAGCTTGGCTCGAAAGCCTGGCTCCAGAGCTTGGCTCGAAAGCCTGGCTCCAGAGCTTGGCTCGAAAGCCTGGCTCCAGAGCTTGGCTCGAAAGCCTGGCTCCAGAGCTTGGCTCGAAAGCCTGGCTCCAGAGCTTGGCTCGAAAGCCTGGCTCCAGAGCTTGGCTCGAAAGCCTGGCTCCAGAGCTTGGCTCGAAAGCCTGGCTCCAGAGCTTGGCTCGAAAGCCTGGCTCCAGAGCTTGGCTCGAAAGCCTGGCTCTAGAGCTTGGCTCGAAAGCCTGGCTCCAGAGCTTGGCTCGAAAGCCTGGCTCCAGAGCTTGGCTCGAAAGCCTGGCTCCAGAGCTTGGCTCGAAAGCCTGGCTCCAGAGCTTGGCTCGAAAGCCTTGCCTCCAAATTGTGGACTGGGGTAGTTATTAATGTATCTGTTGTGTTTGTTCATTCTATTTTATGAACTGTACACACGGTGTTTCTTTATTTTTATTATACACTATAGTATTATGCATTTATTTTAGTACAGGCAGGCCCCGCTTTAGAGCACTTCGCTGTATGGCGTTTTGCTAGTGCATTGGCTTTGTTATACCCATTCTTCATTTATTCAGACTTCCTCCAGTACATACATTCACCACTCACTATGCTAAGGACAAAAATATTTTAAGTTATCAAGCTTTTATATGTACAGTGGACCGCCGCTTTACGATCACCTCCCAGTTCGACCAATTATGTAAGTGTATTTATGTAAGTGCGTTTGTACGTGTATGTTTGGGGGTCTGAAATGGACTAATCTACTTCACAATATTCCTTATGGGAACAAATTCGTTCAGTACTGGCACCTGAACATACTTCTGGAATGAAATAATATCGTAAACCGGGGGTCCACTGTATTTGAAAGTGAAAAAAGGCTATATTTCATTTTACAGTGGTAGCCTGAAACCTAACCTGCTGTATAAACAGAGCCCTCCTGTATATGGCAAATGTTTCTTCTTCTGGGAATCACCCTACTTTGGTGGGAGATGGCCCATAGGTTTAAAAGAAATAGATTTTGGAAATTACTGTACTAATAGTGTACCAGTTTATCTTGATTATATAAGTGATAGCCAATATTGGCAGTGCATGTTTATTTTAGGCTTCACTTGGCTGAATATACCCTACATAGTAGGGCCTTGTTCAGAAAGTCTTTATTGAAAGCCTGAATTATTTTAAATACAGCCTCTCCTCACTTAGAGACATACTTACCGATGCCTCGTACTTACGACGGGCTGTCTGACCAGTATTTATACCTAAATAATGTATATTAGTGCTGGCATGCGTGAGCGTGTTTGATAGGAGTGAATGGAGACAAATGGTTTTTAATACTTGACGTGCTGTTGGAGTGTGAGCAAAGTAACATTTATGAAGGGATTCAGGGAAACCGGCAGGCAGGACTTGAGTCCTGGAGATGGGAAGTACAGTGCCTGCACTCTGAAGGAGGGGTGTTAATGTTGCAGTTTAAAAACTGTAGTGTAAAGCACCCTTCTGGCAAGACAGTGATGGAGTGAATGATGGTGAAAGTTTTTCTTTTTCGGGCCACCCTGCCTTGGTGGGAATCGGCCAATGTGATAATAAAAATAAAAATAATAAAATAGTGCTGATTTCCTCAATTCTGTTTATTACAATATACAGTACACTGCTGTATAAACATTTAAAAATATACCAGAAATGTTATAAATGGTGTAAAGGTGACATTAAAACAATATCAAAGATGGTTGACACAAATCCACTACCATTGTAGTATGCTCCTCATTTAGCTACGAATTCATTTACCGTCGGAGTCTAGGACCACGTTGGTAAATGAATTTGTCACTAAGCAAGGAACATATTCTACTGGTAGTGGGTTTGTCACCCATCTTTGACATTGTTTTAATGTCACCTTTGCACCATTTCTGGTATATTTTTAAAATGTTTCTACAATAGTGTACTGTATATTGTAATAAACAGAATAGAGGAAATCAGCTCTTAATATACGTTATTTAGGTATGAATGCTGGTCAGAGAGCCCATCGTAAGTCCAAGTCGTCGGTAAACGAGTACGTCGCTAAGTGAGGAGACGCTGTAATTACTTTTAGTAACTAAATACCAGTGTTGAAAAGTAAATAAATAAATAAAAGTCAAGGACTTGCCACCTTCATGGTGGGTAATTATCTCAAGTTTCATATCCAAAAGTATACATAATTGATTTTGCACAACTGTAAAGTCGAAACATCGTAAGTCAAGGAGGACATGTTCTGTTGAATACTTGTACTTTTACCCAACCATTTGCTTTGAAGGACAATTAATAAATGGTGCTCTTTGTTTTATAGATTCAAACAAAGACGAATGATGTAATTGAAGGCGTCTTCACGACCTTTAGTTCCAACTTTGATTTGGTGTTAGATATGGCTCACCCAGTGCCACGGGGGGAGACTGCAATTATCAACCCAGAGACTATTAAGCGGAAGATAATCTTCACGGCAGCTGATATCGTTACTATTAAGGTCGCCAATGTTGATCTAGAATACGCAACAAGAGGTTAGTTTATTTTAGTCTTCCTTTCTGTGGAAATTTTCTTTTCTTTTTTTTTTTTTGTTATTTCTGGAAATTATTTTTGAACTTATTAATTGCTGGTGAGATCTTTTGGTGAAGCTCATTTTCCTGAACTGTTTGTTAAGAGATATTTTTTTATAATGTTTTATAGCTTTTTCTGTTGTTTATGACTGTGACTTGACTGACTGTGACTTGACTGACTGTGACTTGACTGACTGTGACGTGACTGACTGTGACGTGACTGACTGTGACTTGACTGACTGTGACGTGACTGACTGTGACGTGACTGACTGTGACGTGACTGACTGTGACGTGACTGACTGTGACTTGACTGACTGTGACTTGACTGACTGTGACTTGACTGACTGTGACTTGACTGACTGTGACTTGACTGACTGTGACTTGACTGACTGTGACTTGACTGACTGTGACTTGACTGACTGTGACTTGACTGACTGTGACGTGACTGACTGTGACGTGACTGACTGTGACGTGACTGACTGTGACGTGACTGACTGTGACGTGACTGACTGTGACGTGACTGACTGTGACGTGACTGACTGTGACGTGACTGACTGTGACGTGACTGACTGTGACGTGACTGTGACGTGACTGACTGTGACTTGACTGACTGTGACTTGACTGACTGTGACTTGACTGTGGAAGGAGTGAACATACAACAACTGTGTGTGTGTGTGTGTTAATAATAGCTTGTGTTTAATGTTATGTTTATCGTTACAGAAGGGTTCGCCGTAGATCAAGTTATCAGTCGTTATAACGGGCAAGTAGTAGAGAAAGCATTAGAACCCTGGCAAGGAGATCCTGCATCGGAAGATAGTTTAGTACTAGGAGAAGAAAGTTCAGTAAGTGGCATGTATTCATTTTTCTCAATTGTGGTCTTGTCATTTTTCATGTGTATGCACTTTTTATTCAACATTGCTGTGCACTTCTCATTCACCGTTGCTGTGCACCTCTTATTCAGTGTTGCTGTGCACTTCTCATTCACCGTTGCTGTGCACCTCTTATTCAACGTTGCTGTGCACTTCTCATTCACTGTTGCTGTGCACCTCTTATTCAATGTTGCTGTGCACTTCTCATTCACTGTTGCTGTGCACCTCTTATTCAATGTTGCTGTGCACTTCTCATTCACCGTTGCTGTGCACCTCTTATTCAACGTTGCTGTGCACTTCTCATTCACTGTTGCTGTGCACCTCTTATTCAATGTTGCTGTGCACTTCTCATTCACTGTTGCTGTGCACCTCTTATTCAACGTTGCTGTGCACTTCTCATTCACCGTTGCTGGGCACCTCTTATTCAGTGTTGCTGTGCACATCTTATTCAGTGTTGCTGTGCACCTCTTATTCAGTGTTGCTGTGCACATCTTATTCAGTGTTGCTGTGCACATCTTATTCAGTGTTGCTGTGCACATCTTATTCAGTGTTGCTGTGCACATCTTATTCAGTGTTGCTGTGCACATCTTATTCAGTGTTGCTGTGCACCTCTTATTCAGCGCTGCTGTGCACCTCTTATTCAGCGCTGCTGTGCACCTCGTATTCAGCGCTGCTGTGCACCTCGTATTCAGCGCTGCTGTGCACCTCGTATTCAGCGCTGCTGTGCACCTCGTATTCAGCGCTGCTGTGCACCTCGTATTCAGCACTGCTGTGCACCTCGTATTCAGCACTGCTGTGCACCTCGTATTCAGCACTGCTGTGCACCTCGTATTCAGCGCTGCTGTGCACCTCGTATTCAGCGCTGCTGTGCACCTCGTATTCAGCGCTGCTGTGCACCTCGTATTCAGCGCTGCTGTGCACCTCGTATTCAGCGCTGCTGTGCACCTCGTATTCAGCACTGCTGTGCACCTCGTATTCAGCGCTGCTGTGCACCTCGTATTCAGCGCTGCTGTGCACCTCGTATTCAGCGCTGCTGTGCACCTCGTATTCAGCGCTGCTGTGCACCTCGTATTCAGCACTGCTGTGCACCTCGTATTCAGCGTTGAAGTGCACATCTTATTCAGTGTTGCTGTGCACCTCTTATTCAGCGCTGCTGTGCACCTCTTATTCAGCGCTGCTGTGCACCTCTTATTCAGCGCTGCTGTGCACCTCGTATTCAGCACTGCTGTGCACCTCGTATTCAGCACTGCTGTGCACCTCGTATTCAGCGTTGAAGTGCACATCTTATTCAGTGTTGCTGTGCACCTCTTATTCAGCGCTGCTGTGCACCTCTTATTCAGCGCTGCTGTGCACCTCTTATTCAGCGCTGCTGTGCACCTCGTATTCAGCGCTGCTGTGTACCTCGTATTCAGCGCTGCTGTGCACCTCGTATTCAGCGCTCCTGTGCACCTCGTATTCAGCACTGCTGTGCACCTCTTATTCAGCATTGAAGTGCACCTCTTATTCAGTGTTGCTGTGCACCTCTTATTCAGTGTTGCTGTGCACCTCTTATTCAGCATTGCTGTGCAGATTATCTTGTGAACATAACCCAAGATCATCTCTTCCAGTGTATTTTCCTCCTTGAGCATTAAAATTTTTCAAGTGTTCAGACATTGGTAAAAACGATGCTGCAATTTTTCAGAAATCTTCCTAATAATGTTGGTAGAATTACTGACAATATGTAAAGTAAAAGGATACAAGTGCAACTAATGTGACATTTTATTGTGGCAACGTTTCACTCTCCAGGAGCTTTGTCAAGCTCCTGGAGAGCGAAACGTTGCCACAATAAAATGTCACATTAGTTGCACTTGTGTCCTTTTACTTTACAGAAATCTTCCTGCTGGTATAGCAGCCACTCTTTGCTTATACCTTTGATGAGTTTCGAGAGGCTTACTACTCTCTGAGCCCGGCCATGGGCTAGGCTCATCAGATGCTGGCCTGGTCAACCAGGTTGTTGCTGCTGGTGGCCCACTGTCTTATTTAGCCATCACAGCCTAGTTGATCTGGCACCTGGTGAAGATACTTGTACAGTTTTCTCTTGAAGACTTCTGCACTTGCTCCAGCAGTGTTTTTTATATCTTCTGGTACGATTACCATTAGAAACAAGATTGTGTGTGAAAAAATGAGTGTCAGACAAATTTGAAATGGCCTTGTCATTACTATAATATGGAAGACACAAGGACTAAAGTGCCGAGACCAGGCATAAATCCTGTGAATTGAGAATAAACAATTGAACTTGCAAGGATTTATAAAAAAAATGATTAGGACGCATCAAAATGAGAAATTCAAAAATAATAAATGCCTATGAACATAAGTAACCAGATAAGTCAATAAACAATGAATAAAGAGAATTATAAAAATAGATAATAGCATTTTAATTACATAAAACAAAGATGGAGTTATATAAAAGTAATTTAATTATTGTGTAGAAATTGAGACTGATTCAGTGACTACAACATGTATGAACAAGTTACTGAAGGATACTAGAGAGAAAACTGGCAATGTATTGTTATGATGAAAAGGTGCCAGAGTATATTGTCTGGCATTGGAAGAAAAACAACTTGGTGTGATCACTAAAGGTAGACAGTGGTATGATCATAAAGGTAGAGAGCAATAAGATCACTAAAGGTAGACAGCAGTATGATCAAGAACAAGCAAAGCTGGGATTAAAATATCTCTTGCTACTAACATTTACAAAATGTTAAGAAAGGAGAAAGTGTCAAAATAGGCAGAGGCTTTGAGGGTATCAAGTCCATAATTCGTAGACAAAATTTTATCAAAAGAAGATGAAAAAAAATCTCAATACAGTGGACCCCCGCTTAACGATCACCTCCCAATGCGACCAATTATGTAAGTGCGTTTGTACGTGTATGTTTGGGGGTCTGAAATGGACTAATCTACTTCACAATATTCCTTATGGGAACAAATTCGGTCAGTACTGGCACCTGAACATACTTCTAGAATGAAAAAATATCGTTAACCGGGGGTCCACTGTATTTATAAGGTTAAAGAACTAGAAAAAATCATTGAAATAGTTTTCTTTCTTGACTATATAGCAATACATAGTCCCAAAAGCACTGATTATAAGGGAAGCCTGTACTCTGCAAATATTGCAGGAATTTGAACAGAAATAGAAAGATGAAAAAATTTACATAGTACACAGAGTAACTACATTCTTTTGTTAAATATTACTACAGTTAACCCTTTGAGGGTCGGAACCCCTAATTTGAAACTTTCTCTCAGGAGTGAAGAATTAAAAAAAAAAAAATCTTGCGATATGATAGAGAATCTTTTTCTGTAGGTAATGAAACCAGAAATACGAAATTTGAGGAGCTGAGGTCTTGATGTAGAACTACGGGACCAACCCTAAAAGGGTTAAAGAACCTTTAACCCTTTGACTGTCACGGCCGTATATATACGTCTTACGAGGTACCGTGTTTGACGTATATATACTAATAAATTCTAGCGGCTTCAAATCAAGCAGGAGAAAGCTGGTAGGCCTACATGTGAGAGAATGGGTCTGTGTGGTCAGTGTGCACCATATAAAAAAAATCCTGGAGCACGCAGTGCATAATGAGAAAAAAAAACTGACCGTTTTTTTTAATTAAAATGCCGACTTTGTGGTCTATTTTCGTATAGTATTTATGGTTGTATTCTCGTTTTGTTGGTCTCATTTGATAGAATAGAAGACATATTATAGAAATAGAGATGATTTTGATTTATTTTACTATAAAAGAACCTAGAAATGGAGCTCAAAGTAGGGGAAATGTTTGATTTTTGCCAATGTTCAAAAGGAAGCAAATGATGCCATTTTCCAGTAAATGTCCAAAAATAGCCATTCTAATATGCAGTCATGAATGGGTTGATGTTATTTATACATTATTACAGTATTGCAGTAGTCTGCATAATAGTAAGTCTTCAATTTTTTTGTTTGAATAAAAATTCAAAATAGAAAGCAAGAGTAATATCAGAGGGGCCTGGAAACACGACTGATGAGCAAAGAAAATGTTATTTTAGAGCCAGGAATGTCTGCATTGTTCATTCTGGACCTTATTTTGAAATTGTCGTATTTTTTAGTTTTCGTGAAATTGGCCAAATTGCAAATTTCTGACCACATTTATTAGGTAGTTGAAATCGGTAAATGGGCAGTTTCTTGTACTCAATCGATAGAAAAAATGGAGTTCTAAAGAAATAGCTATGAGTTTGGGCGACTGGAACAATGGAATTAGCCAAAAGTAGGCCTCAAAGCGGGCGAAATCGCCGATTTGTAAACGGCGCCGAGGTCGCTAACTTCGCGAGAGCATAATTCCGTCAGTTTTCCATCAAATTTCGTTTTTTTTGGTGTCATTACAATCGGGAAAAGATTCTCTTATCATTTCATAAGAAAAAATATTTTTTTTTTTTTTTAATTTTGCGACACCAGGACGTAAGACGTATATATACGGCCGCGACAGTCAAAGGGTTAACACGAGAAATGAGAACGTAGAAGATATTAATAGGATAATTGAGGAACACCGCCATTTGACCCTGAAATTCACAGGGTTTCTGATTTACAGAATTCAGTTGTCTGGCATTTTTATTGATGGACAGTCCTAGAATAAATTAAATTAGTACGTATTCACTTTTTTCTAATTCCCTTTTTCTTTTGGTTTGACTTAGGATTCCTAAACTGAACACTAACCACAGTATTTCATTCTAAATGAATTTGTTGGATTTCCCATTCCCAAATCTGTTTTCCTACTGTTATGAATATCAGTACAGGAATAGTCACAGTACCTTGGCTGGAACAATTCACAAATAACCCACACTTATGACACTGAAACCTCTATGACAGTGTTATAGTCCAAATTGATAATTTTTTGCCAATTTCAGCACACCATAAAACTATAAGTGTTATTTTAGTTTTAAGCATTTTATAAAAATTCCCTTTTTAATTCCTTAGCCCTTTGAGGGTCGACAGGGCCTCTCCGAGACTTGTTCTCAGGGTCGGCCAAATTTAAAAAAAAAAATGTTTTTTTCTTATGAAAAGATAGAGAATCTTTTCCCGATCATAATGACACCAAAAGTATGAAATTTGATGGAAAACTTACGGAATTATGCTCTCGCGAAGTTAGCGGTCTCAATGATGTTTACACATCGGTGATTTTGCCCACTTTGAGCCCTATTTTCCGCCAATTCCAGTGTACTAGTCGACAAAAATCATAACTATTTCTCTAGAACTCCATTTTTTTCTATTGAGTGAGTACAAGAAACCACCCATTTACTGATTTCAACTATCCAATACAGTGGTCAGAATTTAGCAATTTTGCCACTTTTACACAAATTTCAAAAGATGCCAATTTCCAAATAGGGTCCGGAATAAACAAGAAAGACATTCCTGGCACTAAAATAACATTTCCTCTGTTAGTTAGTTACATCCCCAGGCCCCTCTTATATTTCTTTGGCTTTCCACTTTCAATTTTTATTCTTACAAAAAATAGAAGATTTACTGTTATACAGACTGCTGCATTAGTGTAGAAATGGTATAAATAATACCAGCGCACTTGTGAAAGAATATTAGACTCGCCAGTTGACGTGTATTGGACGCTTGGCATGATTTGTTTACTTTTGAACTTTGGTAAAAATCGAACATTTCTGCTACTTTCAGCACAATTTCAAGGTACTTTTCATTGTAAAACCAGTCACAATCATCTCAATTTCTGTAATATGTCTTCCATTCTATAAAATGAGACCAAGAAAACTAGAATACAACAATAAATACAGTGGACCCCCGCATAACGATTACCTCCAAATGTGACCAATTATGTAAATGTATTTATGTAAGTGCGTTTGTACGAGTATGTTTGGGGGTCTGAAATGGACTAATCTACTTCACAATATTTCTTATGGGAACAAATTCGGTCAGTACTGGCAGCTGAACATACTTCTGGAGTGAAAAAATATCGTTAACCGGGGGTCCACTGTACCATGCAAAAATACAGTGCAAAGTCGCTGTTTTATTCCAAAAACACTGTTAAATTTTTTTTTCTCTCATTATGCACTGTGTGCTGCAGGATTTTTTTTATACTGCGCACACTGACCACATAGACCCATTCTTTCATATGTATGCCTACCAGCTTTCTCCCACTAGATTTGAGGGCGTTAGAATTTAGGCATACTAGTACGTCAAAAACCCTGGGTCGTAAGCCGTACTCGTACGGCCGAAACCCTCAAAGGGTTAATATTGTTTTTTCCTCCAAAATCTTGCCACATGCACAGAAGATTTATTCTATGGGTATATGACAGTAATAGAGCATTACCGAAGATGCGCTGCGGCTAACCCTCCTAGTTAAAAAATTGTACATGCCTCGACATGAATTCTACCAAAAAAAAAAAATTAACCCTCACCACATGCCAGTTCATTGAAGATTTAGAGGCGAGACCCAAGAGCTGAAATGGTGAGTACTTATCTATGCATTCTACAAACTGTACTCTTCCATACACATACAACCCACACACACAGGAGAAACAATCTTGTGACAGCATTTTGGTCCGACTTGGGCCATTGACAGAGTGAGACTTATCAATGGTCCAAGTCAGATCAAAAGTCATCATAAGCTCCTCTCTTGTATGTGCAGTTTATTTGTGTGTTGTTCCACACTGTATTGCGCCATTTTGTTCTTTCTGTATCTTTATTTACTAGTTTGTACTTCTTTTCACGCAGAATGGCTGGGACGTAGATGATATGTTTCGTAAGAATGAAGAAAAATACGGAGTAACCACTTCATACACTCCAGAGATGGAGGGCTACACAACCCCTCTTAACAAACGTAATACGGCAGAATATAGAGAACGGGAGGAAAAAGCTTCGAGAATCGCAGCAGAAATTTTGAAATCTCCTTCGTCTAATGCGCAATCTGAGTTAGAAAATGGAGACGAAGAAGACAAGTAAGTGGCAAATTTTAATACTTGTAGAAAGGTAGACTAATGTTAGTTTTTTTTTTTTTTTATATATATAACAAGTCGGCCGTCTCCCACCTAGGCAGGGTGACACAAAAAGAAAGAAAATCCCTGAAACGATAATACTTTCGTCATCATTCAACACATTCACCTCACTCATACATAATCACTGTTTTTGTAGAGGCACCCAGATACAATAGATTAGAAGCATATATAAAGATACAATATAAAAATTTACCTGAAATAATATAAAATCCATATAGAATATAATATCAGGGCCCCAGTTATATATATACCATCCTATTACACATCCCTCCAAACTGCCAATATCCCAAACCCCTCCTTTAAAGTGCAGGCATTGTACTTCCCATTTCCAGAACTCGAGTCCAGCTATATAAAAATAACCGGTTTCCCTGAATCCCTTCACTAAATATTACCCTGCTCACACTCCAACAGCTCATCAGGTCCCAAAAACCATTGGTCTCCATTCACTCCTATCTAACACGTTCATGCACGCTTGCTGGAAGTCCAAGCCCCTCGCCCACAAAACTTTCTTTACCCCCTCCCTCCAACCTTTTCGAGGACGACCCCTACCCTGCCTGCCTTCCCCTACAGATTTATGCGCTCTCCATGTCATTCTACTTTGATCCATTCTCTCTAAATGACCAAACCACCTCAACAACCTGTCTTCAGCCTTCTGACTAATACTTTTATTAACTCCACACCATCTCCTAATTTCCACACTTCAAATTCTCTGCATAATATTTACACCACACATTGCCCTTAGATAGGACGTCTCCACTGCCTCCAACCGCCTCCTCGCTGCAGCATTTACAACCCAAGCTTCACGCCCATATAAGAGAGTTGGTACCACTATACTTTCATACATTTCCTTCTTTGCCTCCATTGATAACTTTTGATTGTCTCCACATATACCTCAACGCACCACTCGGATTTTTTCCCTCATCGATTCTATGGTTAACCTCATCCTTCATAAACCCATCTGCTGACATATCGACTCCCAAATATCTGATAACATTCACTTCTTCCATACTCCTCCTCTCCAGTTTGATATCCAATTTTTCTTTATCTAAATCATTTGATACCCTCATCACCTTACTCTTATCTATGTTCACTTTCAACTTTCTACCTTTACACACCCTCCCAAATTTGTTCACGAATCTTTGCCACTTTTCTTTAGAATCTCCCACAAGCACAATATCATCAGCAAAAAGTAACTGTGTCAACTCCCATTTTGTATTTGATTCCCCATAATTTAATCCCACCCCTCTCCCCAACACCCTAGCATTTACTTCTTTTACAACCCCATCTATAAATATATTAAACAACCATTATGACATTACACATCACTGTCTAAGACCTACTTTTACCGGGAAGTAGTCTCCCTCTCTTCTATACATAATAACCTGAGCCTCACTATCATAAAAACTCTTTACAGCATTTAGTAACTTGCTACCTTTTCCATATACTACTTGCAAAATCTGCCACATTGCTCCCCTATCCACTGTATCATATACATTTTCTAAATTCATAATACAATGAAAACTTCCCTACCTTTATTTTCATCACTTGAGGACTGATAAACCCACAAGTGATGTAACTTGTCCAATAAATGTCTTCATGTTGTACATGAATGGGTGTCTTTAGTTGTAGATGTTTCATTATCCAGCAGCTTTATCAATACAGTACTAGGACATACTGTGAACTGTAAACTATACACAGAAGACGAGGTGCATCTCTCTATTCCCACAATCTGTCGGTATTAACATTCCTATTCGTGTACAACTTTTCACTGGTCATTGATCTTTTTTTCAAGTGACTTGATATAGCTCAGTCCTGAGTAACATTATAAATAAAGGCATGCTTTGCATTTTTTTTTTTTTTTTTTTTAACATGGCCGTTTCCCACTGAGGTAGGGTGACCCAAAAAGAAAGAAAGAAAAATAACTTTCGTCATCATTCAACACTTTCACCATCACTCATACATAACTACTGTCTGCAGAGGCGCTCAGATACAACAGCTTAGACGTCCCTCCAAGCTGTCAGTATCCCAAACTCCTCCTTTGTATTTTTATCAACATATTAAATTGTAATTTGGTTGAAAGAGTAAACTCTTTCTATCCAGGAAATACATCAGTTTTTACATAGGTGTGATGTCTTGCAATAGACTTGCATCCAAGCATCACTCGGCAGTGTTAGGTTAGGTAAGGTTTGTCAGGAAACGGGACAGGTGTTTCTTGACATGAATGTTAGTCATGTTATGACCTGGAGCTGGAGCTTTTGGTCATCTGACCGAGAATTTCTGATACCTTACCAGTCCACCCCTTCAAAAATTGTGGTTGTGATTAAAACCAGTTGATGCGCTTACCAGGGTGTTCTACATAATTTGAGTCCTGTCACCTCCATTTTCAGTAACCACATGTGTTGTCCATTTTTGTAGGGGTTTCTAAATGTTCTCTGAAAACACCATCGCACTGCCTTATATGGTGAACTTATTTTACGTATTTGATTGTATTGCCAAAGGTTGGGTATTTCACATCTATTAATGTTACAGATACTCAGCAGTGCTGAGACCTGGGGAGCAAGCAGCAGGAGGAATGGCAGGAGGCAAATATATACCACCCATGCTGAGAAATAAAACCAAGAATGGCGGCAAGTTACAGCGCTCAACACCGCCACCCATGGGGCCAAGATACAATAGTCATGGAGGATCTAACCCAGCAGCCTCCACCTCTCCCTCATACCCAGCTCCTCCACAAGCTAGTTCAGCGAGCCACAGTCCTGTTGGAGGCCTTGCTGGAGCCTCTCCGACGTATCCTCCCCAACAACAACCGTCACTTCCGTCACCCCACACCCCCTCCCCGGCTTCCCATCCTCCCCTACATCGCAACAACTCCCAGGGTGCCCACCACACTCATAATCCAGATACCAAAGTTAATGGTGATGCCAAAGGGTCCTATGGTAAGTTAGTGGTAGAGAATCTGTTGATGGACTTAAATTACCTAGTTTGTATGGTATACATAAGCATATAAAATTTTAATTGAAAGTAGAGATTCAGATATAAAAAGGGTTGGTGAAATGTATGCACTAGGTCAGAATAAGGATAGAAAATTCTGAAAATATTGGTTCCCACAAAAACACAAGGTGGTAACCTTCTGTCCAGGTAGGTGGTCTTATACGTTCGGGTGGCCATTTTCATGTATAGTAGCTGCGCTGTATGACCCTGGTGGTTTAGCACTTAGTTTTGATTATAATAATAATGATATAAGGACCAGACAGGAGGAGTGAGAGTTAGTGTGTTTAGAGGGGTGCATAAAGTACTGTTCCACATTTATATTAATTTACTGTAACAGCTTTTGAACTTCTTTCTACCTTGTATGTGAGAGATAAAATTTACTTTTAAAAGCGACTGGAGGCAGTGGAGATGTCCTGTCTAAGGGCAATGTGTGGTGTAAATATTATGCAGAGAATTCGGAGTGTGGAAGTTAGGAGGTGTTGAGTTACTAAAAGTGTTAGTCAGATGGCTGAAAAGTGGTTATTGAGGTCATTTGGTCATTTAGAGAGAATGGATCCAAGTAGATTGACTTGGAGAGTGTATAAATCCATAGGGGAAGGAAGGAGGGGTAGGGGTTGTTGTTGAAAAGGTTAGAGGGAGGGGTAAAGGAGGTTTTGTGGGTGAGGGGCTTGGACTTCCAGCAAGTGTGTGTGTGTGTGTGTGTGTGTGTGTGTGTTTTAGTGTGTGTGTGTTTTAGTGTGTGTGTTTTAGTGTATGTGTGTTAGTATGTGTGTGTGTGTATGTGTGTGTGTTTGTGTTTTAGTGTGTGTGTTTGTGTGTTTTAGTGTGTGTGTGTTTTAGTGTGTGTGTGTGTTAGGTGTGTGTGTGTGTGTGTGTGTGTGTGTGTGTGTGTGTGTATATATATATATATATATATTTTTTTTTTTTTCAACAAGTCGGCCGTCTCCCACCGAGGCAGGGTGACCCAAAAAAGAAAGAAAATCCCCAAAAAGAAAATACTTTCATCATCATTCAACACTTTCACCACACTCACACATTATCACTGCTTTTGCAGAGGTGCTCAGAATACAACAGCTTAGAAGCATATAGTATAAAGATACACAACACATCCCTCCAAACTGCCAATATCCCAAACCCCTCCTTTAAAGTGCAGGCATTGTACTTCCCATTTCCAGGACTCAAGTCCGACTATATGAAAATAACCGGTTTCCCTGAATCCTTCACTAAATATTACCCTGCTCACACTCCAACAGATCGTCAGGTCCCAAGTATCATTCGTCTCCATTCACTCCTATCTAACACGCTCATGCACGCTTGCTGGGAAGTCCAAGCCCTTCGCCCACAAAACCTCCTTTACCCCCTCTTTCCAACCCTTTCGAGGACGACCCCTACCCCTCTTTCCTTCCCCTATAGATTTATATGCTTTCCATGTCATTCTACTTTGATCCATTCTCTCTAAATGACCAAACCACCTCAACAACCCCTCTTCTGCCCTCTGACTAATGCTTCTATTAACTCCACACCTTCTCCTAATTTCCACACTCCGAATTTTCTGCATAATATTTTACACCACACATTGCCCTTAGACAGGACATCTCCACTGCCTCCAACCGTCTCCTCGCTGCTGCATTTACCACCCAAGCTTCACATCCATATAAGAGTGTTGGTACTACTATACTTTCATACATTCCCTTCTTTGCCTCCATAGATAACGTTTTTTGACTCCACATATACCTCAAACGCACCACTCACCTTTTTTCCCTCATCAATTCTATGATTAACCTCATCCTTCATAAATCCATCTGCCGACACGTCAACTTCCAAGTATCTGAAAACATTCACTTCTTCCATACTCCTCCTCCCCAATTTGATATCCAATTTTTCTTTATCTAAATCATTTGATACCCTCATCACCTTACTCTTTTCTATGTTCACTTTCAACTTTCTACCTTTACACACATTCTCAAACTCATCCACTAACCTTTGTAATTTTTCTTTAGAATCTCCCATAAGCACAGTATCATATGTGTGTGTGTGTGTATATGTGTGTGTATGTGTGTGTGTGTGTGTGTGTGTGTATATGTGTGTGTGTGTATATGCATGTGTGTATGTGTGTGTGTGTGTGTGTGTGTGTGTGTGTGTGTGTGTGTGTGTGTGTGTGTGTGTGTGTGTATGTGTGTGTGTGTGTGTATATGTGTGTGTGTGTGTATATGTGTGTGTGTATGTGTGTGTGTATATGTGTGTGTGTGTGTATGTGTGTGTGTGTGTATGTGTGTGTACTCACCTATTTGTACTCACCTATTTGTGGTTGCAGGGGTCGAGTCACAGCTCCTGGCCCCGCCTCTTCGCTGATTGCTACTAGGTCCTCTCTCTCCCTGCCCCATGAGCTCTATCATACCTCGCCTTAAAACTATGTATGGTTCCTGCCTCCACCACATCACTTTCTAGGCTATTCCATGGCCTGACTACTCTATGACTGAAGAAATACTTCCTAACATCCCTTTGATTCATCTGAGTCTTCAACTTCCAATTGTGACCTCTTGTGTCTGTGTCCCATCTCTGGAACATCCCGTCTTTGTCCACCTCGTCTATTCCGCGCAGTATTTTATATGTCGTTATCATGTCTCCCCTGACCCTCCTGGCCTCCAGTGTCGTCAGGCCGATTTCCCTCAACCTTTCTTCATAGGACAATCCCCGTAGCTCTGGGACTAGTCTTGTTGCAAACCTTTGCACTTTCTCTAATTTCTTGACGTGCTTGACTAGGTGTGGATTCCAAACTGGTGCTGCATACTCCAGTATGGGCCTGACGTTTGATGGTGTACAGAGTCTTAAACGAATCCTTACTGAGGTATCGGAATGCTATCCGTAGGTTTGCCAGGCGCCCGTATGCTGCAGCAGTTATCTGATTGATGTGCGCCTCAGGAGATATGCTCGGTGTTATACTCACCCCCAGATCTTTTTCCTTTAGTGAGGTTTGCAGTCTTTGGCCATCTAAACTATATTGTGTCTGCGGTCTTCTTTGCCCTTCCCCAATCTTCATGACTTTGCATTTGGCAGGGTTAAATTCAAGGAGCCAGTTGCTGGACCAGGCTTGTAGCCTGTCCAGATCTCTTTGTAGTCCTGCCTGATCCTCGTCCGATTCGATTCTTCTCATTAACTTCACATCGTCTGCAAACAAGGACACTTCTGAGTCTATCCCTTCCGTTATGTCGTTCACATATACCAAGAACAGCACAGGTCCTAGGACTGACCCCTGTGGAACCCCGCTTGTCACAGGCGCCCACTCTGACACCTCGTCGCGTACCATGACTCGTTGTTTCCTCCCTGTCAGATATTCTCTGATCCATTGCAGTGCCTTTCCTGTTATGTGTGCCTGGTCCTCTAGCTTTTGCAGTAACCTCTTGTGAGGAACTGTGTCGAAAGCCTTCTTGCAGTCCAAAAATACGCAGTCGATCCACCCCTCTCTCTCTTGTCTTACTTCTGTCACCTTGTCATAAAACTCTAGTAGGTTTGTGACACAGGATTTTCCTTCCCTGAAACCGTGCTGGTTGTCAATTATACACTTGTTTCTTTCCAGGTGTATATGTGTGTATATGTGTATGTGTGTGTGTATATGTGTGTGTGTGTGTGTATGTGTATGTGTGTGTTTGTGTGTGTGTGTGTACTCACCTATTTGTGGTTGCAGGGGTCAAGTCATAGCTCCTGGCCCTGCCTCTTCACTGATTTCTACTAGGTCCTCTCTCTCCCTGCTCCATGAGCTTTATCATACCTCGCCTTAAAACTATGTATGGTTCCTGCCTCCACTACTTCACTTTCTAGGCTATTCCACAGCTTGACTACTCTATGACTGAAGAAATACTTCCTAACATCCCTTTGATTCATCTGAGTCTTCAACTTCCAATTGTGACCTCTTGTGTCTTGTGTCCCATCTCTGGAACATCCCGTCTTTGTCCACCTCGTCTATTGTGTGTGTTTGTGTGTGTTTGTGTGTTTTAGTGTATGTATTTTAGTGTGTGTTTGTGTGTTTTAATGTGTGTGTTTGTGTGTTTTAGTGTGTGTGTGTTAGTGTTAGTGTGTGTGTGTGTGTTAGTGTGTGTGTTAGTCTTGGGAGTGAATGGAGATGAATGGTTTTTGGGACCTGCCGAGCTGTTGGAGTGTGAGCAGGGTATTGTTTAGTGAAGGGATTTAGGGAAACCGGTTAGCCACTGAGGCAGGGTGACCCCCCAAAAAAATTAACAAAAGTTTTTCTTTCTACCTGGCATATTAGCCACCTCTTACGATATGCATGGCTTATGGAGGAAAGATTCTTCTCCACTTCTCCATGGAAGAAAGCATAATATATTGGTGTTAGCAGGGTAACATTTTGTGAAGGGATTCAGGGAAACTGGTTATCCAGACTTGAGTCCTGGAGGTGGGAAGTACAGTGTCTACACTTTGAAGGACGGGTTTGGGATATTTGCTTTTTAGAGTAACAGCTAGACTGTTGTATCTGTATGCCTCTGCAAAGACTGTGATAGTGTGAATGATGGTGAAAGATTTTTTTTTTGGGGGGGGGGGTCACTCTTTTGGTGGGAGACAGCCAGCATCTTTAACCCTTTCAGGGTCCAAGGCCAAAATCTGAAGTGGTGCCCCAGTGTCCAAGAATTTAGAAAAAAAAAATTGTCATTTTTTCTTATGAAACGGTAGAGAATCTTTTTGTGAAGGTAATAAAACAAAAAGTACGAAATTTGATGGAAAATTAATGAAATTATGCTCTCGTGAATTTTGATGTGTCAGCGATATTTACGAAACGGCGATTTTGCCGACTTTGACTCCCATTTTAGGCCAATTACATTATTCCAGTCAACCAAATTCTTAGCTATTTCACTAGTATTACTTCTATTCTATCGATTGAGCACAAGAAATCGCCAAGTCAACCATTTCAGCTACAAAATAAAGTGACCGGAAATTGGTAATTTGGCCAATTTAACACAGTTCAAAATATTCCAATTTCAAAATAGGGTCCAGAATAAACAATGTAGGTATTCCTGGCACTAAACTAACATTTCCTCTGTTCATTAGTTATGTTTTGAGGCTTTACAAATAAATTCCATTTTGAATTTTTATTCACATAATGAATTTTTATTCACACCAAAAAATAGAAGATTTACTGTTATGCAATACTGTAATAATTGTATAAATATCATCACCACATTTGTGAATGTATATTAGACCCACCAGCTGGCGTGTATAAGATGTGTGAGGTCGTTTGTTTACTCTTGAACATCGGCAAAAATTTAACATTTCCGCCACTTTGAGCTCAGTTTCAAGCCATTTCCCGTGCTAACACCAATCAAAATTATCTCTATTTCTGTGATATGTCTTCCATTCTATCAAATGAGACCAAGAAATCACAAATACAACTATAAAAAACATACGAAAAACACTGCAAAGTCGCTGTTTTAATCGAAAATCACGGTCTCAGTTTTTTTTCTCTCATTATACACAGTGTGCTGCAGGATTTGTTTTATGTGGTGCACACATACCACATAGATGTATTCTCTCATATCTAGGCCCAAATTTACCACTCACAGTTTATCAGAGTGAGCTGAGCTCATGACGTAGATCTACGGTTTGGACCCTGAACGTAAAGCCGTAGATCTACGGGACGGACCCTGAAAGGGTTAAAAAAAATAAAATTAGGATTAGGAACCAACCTAGTGGCCTGAAGTATATTCTAGACTAGGATAAGTTGACTAGACTATTGGTGTATGCAACAGAATTTTATTGTAGACCAGGGACTGTTAACCAGTAAATAGTTTATCATCACTAACTTAGTTAATGAAAGTTTGTAGCCCAGTCCCTGGACCCAATGTGTGTCCCTAAAATCTTTTTGACTACTGCTTACAGGATGGGTATAGGGGCATAATAGGGATATTAAACTTAAGCTAACTAGTGATCTACGTACAGAAGTATGTTCATGACTAGTGTTGGTCATCGTATAGTCCATGTACAAATGTATGCCCTAGATCAGGGTTGATCAGTTGCAGGCCAGAAGTATGCCTTACCTATTTACTATTTTTAAGTTTGTCCTTTTGTACCTCATTATGAGGAAAGGTTTTCCTGGTGATCATGCATTTAAGCAGGCTGTTGGTGCCTGCAGGACAACATAAATGTGACACTAGCTGATCGGGCACCATCACTTTAATGTGTAACATTCCCACCCATCCTTCAGAGCCCAGACACTGTACTTATCACCTCGCCTATTGGTGCACTGAAATCCGTGTTTGGAGGTCTCTGGATGCCTCACCCACGTATAATTGGTTGCAGCTTTTGAAAATGAAAAATTCAGTGGCTATCTCTTATTTTTCCAACTTGTATCTTTCAGATCGTAGAAGTCACGAGGGTTCCATGAATGAGTCGAGCAGAGAAGGTCGTCACAATAGTAATAACAATAAGCTAGACATGCACAACCGACAACACCACGGGCCTCCTCACGGTGATGGCCCACATCCTACTCAAACACAACAAAAGCCTATGCAGCAAAAGCCTCCACCACAGCAGCAGCATCAGCAGGGCCAGCACATGGGTCACATGCCGCCAATAGGTCAAGGGGATCACCGCAAGGCTGAGCCACGGGAGCAACGGGAACCTCGTAAACAGCACCGTATGAAGGAAGAACACTTTGCTGATTTGAGAAAATTTGGCGAGGACTTTAAGTTGTCTGATCAGGCAGAGAAGAAACCACAGGTACATCATCAACAGGCTCCACAACAACAGCAGCAGCAGCAACCACCACAGCAACAGCAGCAGCAGCAACAGCCATCCCAGCAACAAGCACAGCAGCAGCAACCACCACCACAGCAACCACCACAGCCACAGCAGTCACCACAACAACAGTCACAGACCCCACAGCAACAACCACATCCTCAGTCACAACCCCAGCAGCAGCAACAGCAGCAGACACACCAGCAACAGGCGCAACATCAGCAACAACCACCTCACCAGCCGCCACACCAGCAACAGCCACCACATCAGCAACAGCCTCCACACCAACAGCAGCCATCGCATCAGCAACAGCCATCACATCAGCAGCAGCAGTCACATCAGCAGCAGCCCCCGCATCAGCAGCAGCCGCCACATCAGCAGCAGCCGCCACATCAGCAACAGCCACCACATCAGCAGCAGCCACCGCATCAGCAGCAGCCGCCGCATCAGCAGCAGCCTCCACATCAGCAACAGCCCCCTCACCAGCAACACCAGCAGCAGCAACACCAGCAACAACAGCACCAGCAACAGCAACACCAGCAGCAGCTGCCACACCAACAGCAGCAACAGCACCAGCAGCAGCAACAGCACCAGCAGCAGCCACCACACCAGCAACAGCTGCCTCACCAACACCAACCACCCCAACACCAGCAGGCACACCAGCAACAGCAGCAACCACCCCCACCCCCACCACAGCAACAGCAGCCACCACCACCACAGCAACAGCAGCCATCACCAATACCTCAACAGCATCTTCCTCCTCAGCACATGCCTCCACAGCAGCACCCACAGCAGAGGCAGACACCACCAGTGTCAACAACAGTGCCTCCAGGACCTCCTCAGTCGGCACCACAAACCTCACACCACCCACAAAACCCACCCACCATGACGATGAGCCCAGCCACGGAAATTAGCAAACCTCTCGAAGAAATTGATAAAATAACCTCTGCAATTTCTCACTCTAAACTTAACCCTAATGCTAAGGAATTTGTATTTAATCCTAATGCAAAGCCTTTTAGTCCTGTGAGTATTATTTCAAGTACTTTTTTTTTACTTGATCTATATAATGACACAGACAAGTTCTTATTAAACTGGTTTAATATGATGTTATTTCTTTTGATTATTTTTCACTGCTTTTCAGAAAGTTCATAACTGAAATTTTTTTCTAACAGCGTTCGCCAAGCACAACCACACCCCCTCGCCCGCATACACCCCAGACGCCACAAATCCCGCCAAATCAGCCACCGCAAATGCCTGGTGGCCCCCCTGTAGGAATGCATCAAGCTATGGTATTGACTACACATACACAGTCGTTTGCAGTACAGCAGCCACCGCGATTCCCCAAGAGAGGCAAGTAGAAAAACTGCACAGTTCTGTTGTTTGCCTCTTTTGACAATGTATCTCAATTGAGTTTTGTCTAGGTTATACCTGGACAGTGCTTAATATAGCTTTCATAATAAACCACACACAGGAGAAAGAAGCTTATGACGATGTTTCAGTCCGACTTTGAACATTGACAAATCTGACTGAAATGTCATCATAAGTCTTTCTTTTGCATGTGGGATATTTGTGTGTTTCCAGTCATGGTTTTGTGCCTCTTTGTTCTTTTCATCATGCATGTGCTGTTTCATCATGTAATATACACTGGAGTGTTTCTAACTGCTGGCAGTGTATTGAGATGTGTAAACAGATGTGTCAAACAGTTTATTTTTTTTTTAAATCATGTTCTTTCCATATAGTGGTGCTGGATGACACCTGTGTGCTTAGCACCTTTTTTATGTCATAAGTAAAAATTGCAAAGGTCAAGGTGATCAGAATAACACAATTTAATCTATAAAAGATTGGACATCAGATTAGAGATATGGAGTATTGAAGGAGTAAACATATTCAGGTATTTGGAAACGGACTGGTCGGCATATGATGGGTCTGTCAAAGACTGGGGGGGGGGGATAGGTGGTGCATTGAATTCAGGCATCTGTGGAGACAAAGAAGTTAATCCATAAAGGCAGCAAGGAAGATGTACCAGAGTTTAGTGGTACCAACAGTGTTTTGTGAGTGTGAAACATGGGTTTTTAACATTGCAGCTAGGGGGAGGCTAGAGGCAATGGACATGTCATGGTTGAGAGCAATCTGTGGCATAAGTATTATGCAGAAAATTTATAACATAGAAATTATAAGGTGGTGATGTGGGGGTCACCAAGGGTATAATTCAGAGGATGGGTTGCTAGATGATTTGGGTATGTACAGAGGATGGAGAGAGACAGGGTAATGGTGTATAAATCTCAGGTAGAAGGTAGCTCATCCCAGGGAAAAGTTGGGGAAAGGAATAAAGAAGGCTTTGAGTGTTAAATGCTGGAACATCCAACAGGCTTGTGTGAGATTCTTAGGTAGGAGTGACTGGAGACAAGTGGTTTTTAAATGAATATTCTGTTGGGATTTGGGGAAACCAGTTAGCCGGACTTGAGTGCTGTAAAGGAAGAGGGGGTGGATGTTGTAGTCAAGTGGGAGCAAACTAATTGTGATATCAGCATTCTTATTGCAGAATGGGCATTGAATGAATAATGGTGAATGTTTCATCTTTTAGGTCACCCTCCCTTGGTGGGAGATGTCCATTGAGGTAAAAAAAATTCATTTACAAGATGTTTTCCCTGCATAAGTCTATATACAGTATGTTTTATTTTTTGTTGTAGCAGTTCCTGTGGGTAATAGCCAGCGTCCTGAGTATGCATCACAAATGCAAGTGGCAGCTGCAACAGGTCAGCCCATACTGGCTCCAGCTCCTATGAATACCCAGCCACAGGCCCTCACTGCTGTACCAATACCACAGAATATATTGCCTCAAACACCTCAGCATTACCAGGTAAGAAGTATTTCATACAGTATATCATTTCAACTTCTGCATTTGCATACAAGCTGATGTTAGTCTATATTACATTAATTATTATTATTAATTTTGAGTTTTAAATTACTTTCCAGCAATACCCCAGTGTGCCCATGATGTTACGATTTCCACATGGCATGCCAATGGTGACTGCTATGGTTCCGACATCTATGGGTTTATGTCATCAGAATCCAGATTCACAGCAGCAGTCACAGCAACACGGTCATCAAACGATGTATATGGCTCAGGCTAACTTACCGCCCCATCAGCCACACCCAGCGCATACGCCTGGCCCAGTTCCTCAGCCCACCCAGCCACCCACCCCACAGAATCCAGGTGGTGGAAGTGGACCTCCAAATATGCCCAATCCACCATCAACTCCAGGACCCACTCCTCCACAGCCCCTCATATATTCCCATATGGGAGGACAGCCATCCTTGCCTCAGCACTTGCCTCAACATTCTCCTCACACAGCTCAGTCACCTCATGCCCCACAATATCCGGGGCCTGGTCAAGGTGCAGGATCGGCTGCAGGTGGCCATCATGGAGGACCGGGCCAGCAGATGGCCACTCAATTTGTGGTACTTCCTCCACATATGATGCACCACTCAGGTCCACCTCCACATTCAGCCACAGCACACATTCCCTCCTCCATGGCGGGCTACACTCCTACGTCGTCAGCCACTGTGCAGCACATACCGTCTGGTCCTCATATTCAATACTTCCAAAGTAAGCACCACGCACGGTTCACACACTGAGGTGCTGCATTGTTTAGATAAAAAAAGGTTTATCAACAATAATGAGGTGGTTCCTCAGTGAATATTGCTTTCTATTTGTAAAAAAAAATAGTATGATTGCTACTGATCTGTATAAATTCCTAAAATTTATTGTAGGATTTCTGTGAATTTGGGTCGCATATCTGAACCTTGGCATATTTGGCATTGTGAAGCGAGATGATGCACATGAGCTGAAAACGGTGTTTGTGCCCACAGGTACACCCGGCAGCCATGGCTACCACATGCCCCTCATCCATCACAGCCAATGAAGCCTGGGCTTAGTAGGAGCAAATCCACACTTATTCCCCAGCCTTCAGTCGTGTCTGCCCAAGTGTCTGGTCTCCATACAGGGTGGGACAATACGTGCAGGGATATTGGGGTGTTTGTTGCCGTTGTCGTGTTGAGAGATGTATTTAGTGTAGCTCAGTTAATATATTGATCTTGTTTGTAGTTGGTATGTCAGTGGTGTATGGAGCATTTGAAACTGGAGCAATTTTGATAAATATATATATACATGTATATATAATATATATATATATAATATATATATGTATACAATATAAATGAAAATATAAGGGGGAACTTATGCAAGGGGTTATATTACGGGTATACTCCCTTAGTTTTTCTCAAACCAATGCATTCTATAGTATTGCAAGAGTTTTAATCTTTAGTGTGATTAGTGGGTCACTGCAGTAACTATAAGCTCCATTAATGAAATTACACAACTGAGGTACTGTTAGGCATGGTAATTGATATTTATTGTAGAGAGAGAGAGAGAGAGAGACAGGAGGAAGCTTTACTATGAGACCTAGATTTCTCTGAATGGTCTTGTAAAGACTGTGGTGTAGAAGTTTATATAGGATCTTTTGGCAGGGTAACATACAAATGGCGTTGACATTGGTGCCAAGTGTCAGGTAGGGCGGCTGGAGACCTGGGCGGTGTGAAAACTAAATATCTCTGTAAACCCTGGTGGTTTCGTTAGTAAATTTTTATAACCTTGTATGTATGCATTGCATTCATTTGAGAGGCAATATTCTATGAGAGACAAAAATCGTTGCGGGGCCTGTCAGACAGCTAGCCTAACAGAAAACTTATTGAAATGTGATTTGCCTTATGTCTTATAGTAAGCCTCATTAAAAACAATATAGGATGTGACTTGTTGAGCCATACTGCAGCTTAATACAGAAGGCTCCTTGCCACATATGGTTTGTACAGACCTGCTAAACATTTCAAGGCATATATATATATATATAAATCCCCTCCCTGTTCTGTTACCAGTACATGTACATTTGCATGAACTCATACACACTTGTAGGTGAGTATATGCGTGCATGTGCACACGCACACACACAGGCACACATGCACACGCACGCACTTGCATGCATGTATGCATGCATGCACACATACATACGCAAATAGGTAATTAAACACACAGATTTACTCTAACATTTACTCCTCTTCTAATCCCAAAAAACAGAAAGCGATACACTATCTGAACTGGGGGTGAAGTGTGACAACTAGAAACATCTTAATCTCTTTAAATGAAAGTTTGTGTATTCTGATGTGGGGTTTTAGCTTGGAGTGGAAGTTACACTTCTATACAACTAAAAACTGCTAATAACCTCGTAGGCCTTGTTCATCAAAGGTTAAGATCCCTTATTGTTAAATGGTGACTCTGCTGCAATTTTCTGTAACAGGTCGAAAACTTGAAGATTTTTTAGAAACTTTCTCTAAAGCCTTTGAGCTAACATCCCTTCTTGTATTTCTTGACATGCTGTCCTTTATTTTTTTTTTCTTGTGGAAACTGGGGAAAACTTTTGTAAAGTAAATAACCAACAAGTGTAGGCCTCTGAGCTCTATTAGGCTCAAGTTTTGAAGTCATACGTACGTAAAGCTTTCATTGCATAAAAATGACCTGGGTTTATTTTCTAAACAAAACAAAGAGGACCTTCACTAGTCTCTCAGTTGCAACCATCATGTGTATATTTCTTTTGTATTAAGTGCATAGGTGAAAAATAAATTCTATTGTTACAATTTGTTGATGCATTACATGAAAACATTTTTTGTATAAAGCTATTCCACCTCATCGTCATCCATGAATATCTAAAGTTTCAGCATTACATACATGAGAACTAAATGCTGTTGCCTTCTTCGGCTAAAAATAAATGTAGAAAACATGAGGTGAGTGTTAAAATATGAAGCTGCGGCGTCTTGAAATCTTTTCCTAGCTGAGGATGAAGATTACCTGTGGAAACCATATAGAATAGTGTGGCTATATTTGGCAAAAATGCTGAAAAAGTGTTTGGAAAGTGCAGGGAACATTTGAGTCTTTTTACGACAGCTATGCTAGTGATGCAAAGGGTTAATATGCAAACGTGAGTGTTAACTTGTTTACGATTTTTATATTTTCTTATACAAGGATTGGTTTTGTTACATATGTTTCAGGATCGATCACTTAGCAAAACTTTTAGATCAAAATATATTAATGTAACAATTTTTTATTTCTCATGTTAATGAAAAAAGTACGGTTGATAGAAATGCATTTGGCCCAATGTATAAATCCCTTGCAATACAATTTGTGCTTGAGGGAGAGAGAATATTAAGAGTTATTTATGTGTGCAGTGTGAATGTTCAGTGCTTTGTACTGCAGCATGTATGAAAGACAATGTATGAGACTAGTTCACTGTTCCCCTGTTATAAGAAGCATTCTCTTCAAAAATCATTCTTGCTATCACTTTGTAACCCTAATTTATCCATGGTGAGGTGAATTACCAACACATTTGGCTGGGATCGTCAAGGGCCTTGGACCTTAGGTCGCTCTAAGGATGAATGTCGCATGGTTTTTTTTGTAAATCAGCCATAGAGCGATTAAAAGGTTTTGAGATTTCTTGCTTGATCCACTCCATTACGAGTTGACAGGGTGTTTTAATTCTAATTCTTATATTGGCTCAACCTTTTAGATATTTAATGTTCCCATGTGCTAGTTCCAGTATACTGTATAATGAATTATTCAGTCAGTTAGAGCTGTAAAATAATTTGACAGATTGCAGTAAATAGTCATGCAGGGAATATGGAAGTCGAATAGCTTTTAGACTACTTTGAAACTGTACACACCAGTCTTAACGTTCGGTGATTTACCTCAGCATTGTATTTTCTAAACTTGTCCTCTAGTTTCATTCTAGACAATTGTTATACCTGTCCCATTTTTGTTGTAAAAACCTATACAGATTATCAAGGGTATTCCTACACAACAGGCTTAAAGCATTTTTTTTTTTTTTCCATTATGTTGTTCATAATGTTTGTTACTTTACCCTGGAAGATAGGATACATGACTATCCTCCTTCATGCCCAGACTTTATTACTTTGCCTTCCTACCACATCTTGCCCATTCCCAACTGCATTTACAAAAATGTTGCTTGTGACAGGTTAACTATCTTCTTGGTCTACCCAACTCTTTATTTAATTAGCTCTCTTGAATTTTCTCTCCACTGTTGAATAAAATAAGAAAGATACTGCTTTGTCTTAAGATTGAGGCAGTGTGGTGTAGTGAATGATACCAAGAGTTATTTATTGACTGAATTATTGGTAGCTTACTGAATAGGCCTCTCTGATCTTTCTAGCAGGGGAATAATGATGCAGGATCATCTTGTACAAACTTGTTTAAAAAGATAAATTTAGTCTCTTGAAAATATAAAAATCACTAAAATAATTATATAAAATTTATATATAATATATATATATATATATATATATATATATATATCTCGTTCCTAATAAGCTGAACTGGTCAATTAGGCCTAACCCCCTTAAATATTAAACTTTTCAAATTTTCTTCCCCCTGAATCATAAATATATTTTTCATTGCAAGTGATATAAAAAAAAAAAATTGAGCCAAACGTAACTTTGACACCTTGCCTAACCTAATGTAAATTTATTTAGCAAAATTCTACTAAATATGTCATAGGTCAGATGACATACATTTAATATTACTTAGTCAATGATATATATATATACGTATTATGTTCCGATTGATTTTTGGAGAATGGCATAATTTGTTTTTGTCTGCTCGTTTGGCAGAAAACACTGGTTTGGTTTATTCGGCACACTCAGTTTTATATATGTATATATATTATGCAATAAAATCACAGTAAACCGGTGATATCAATTTTCAAAACGACCATTGTGAAAGAAAAGCAAAATTTCAAGTACTTTCGTGACTTCTTGCATTATCAATGTGAGAAGTCATGAAAGCGCTTGGTATTTTTCTTTTTTTCCACAGTGGTTGTTTTGCATATATGTATATGTATTGTCATGCCGAATAGATAAAACTTGCGATTTTGGCTTAAATAGCAACACTCTTCTTGCTGGACAAGGCAAGTGAAAATTTGTGTATGCAATAATTTCTCAAAAATCATTCTGAACCTAAAAAAAATATATTTCATTGTTTGTTTTTTATTAAATTATTGTTAACTTAACTTATCTAAAATATAGTTGGATTAGGCTAAATTGCAATTGTCTTAATAAGGTCAAAGTGGTTGTGGTTTAGCACTTTTTGATTATAATAATAATAATGTCAAGTAAGTTTTCTAAGGTTCTTTTGGCACAAAATTATTAATTTTTACGTTAACATAAATGAAAAAAATATATCTTTAAATGTATAAGAAAATCTTAGAAAGGACTTGATTTTAAACAAGTTCTTTGTAATTGACCAGTTTTTATCTATTTGGCACGACATATATATAATAAATATATATATATATATATATATATATATATATATATATATATATATAAAATAAAAGCCTTTGAATAACAAATATGGTAAATTGGTAAAATAGTGATTTTTAAAGAAAATATAAGGGTTCATCGAATGCCACTCTTCATGAAATTGAAAACAGAATGTTGGCAGTGACAGTAAAAAGATTTGATGCCCAGTACTGAAAATTTTTAAATTGAAAATAAAACGTTAAACTCCCCATGTATAGCAGCTGGAAACTCTCAGCTAAAATGCTAAAAATAAAGATGAAAGATGATGGTGTTTCTTTACCATAACAACTTGTTTTCATTAAATTCCCTTCACTATGAAACTAACGAAACTTATGCGTTGGGGCCCCTAATCCTGGAGGGGCCCCAGAAGTGTATAAGACCCCACAGTGCTTAAAATCTGGATCTAGTGTATGAGGAGTTGCAAAGGGACCCCAAAAAACGTAAGTCTGCCACTGGTTTTGATTGTAATAATGCAGGTGAAAGGCTCTTAATCCATGGACCCTAGTGGATTTAGTGTTTTTTTTTTTTTATCCATGGAACTGTAAGTGCCCTCTTTCTTTGATCAGATTACCCTTTTTGGGTTTAGTGCTCAATTTGATTTTATTGGATCAAGTAGCTCTTGTGGCTTAGCGCTTCTTTTTGATGATATTGGATCCAGTTAATTCCCTTGTATTCCTAGGTAGTTTGATCTGAGTTTAGCAGACCCTCTTGGGTTTAGTGCTTAGTTTTGATTGCCCTTGTGGTTTAGTGCTTCTTTTTGATTATAATAATTAATTTTGATTATAATTTGAATTCAGCACTTTTCATGGATGTAATTAAGCTAACAAATGGTTTTCAAGAGAGCAAGTGTTGTATGACCCTCAAGGGTTTGGTGCTTTGTTAATGCTCTGTGCCTTTTGTATGTTTAGCACTATAATGGCATTTCATTATAATAGTAAACAAAAGCAGTGTTGGGTCAACTTTTCTATGAAGAGTTCCTTGATACTGGTGAAGTGCTTCAGTGGTATGGTTTGTTTGCAATCGTGTCATTACGATTTCGTGAGTCATGATTTATTAGAGCTAGTCTCCCTTTCCTTGGAGTAAACCTTATTGGCTCCAGAAACTATAGGACTGTACAGGGTTAACACTTCTCAATAATTACATGTATAATAAACACACCCATAACAGGCAATTTTATTTTTGTATATGAAAATACAACATACCTTAAACAACATACATATAGGTTTAGCACCTACACAAGTCCTAAGTTTTATTGTATTACTAAGCAAGTGGTCCAGCCACTACATTTTCTATTATTTACTGATACAAATAAGTGGACCTATCCTATTTCCTTCCCTTTCAGGTTTAGTGCTTATGATTTCATTCCCTTGCATAGACTCCTTAAATGTTCCTTGAGGCTGGTGGGGGGGGAGGGGGGTGTATTATGACATGACCTCTATGGTTTAGTACTCCCCTATGAATGTAAGTGGTCTCTTGAATTAAACCTGATTGGCTTCCACACTCCTAGGAGCTTTGTAAAACCCTTATGGGTTCAGTAATATCAAATTAAGCACTAGTCAGGTTTAGTAGCAGTAATCAGACTTCTAAACCCAGCTATGGGTTAGATGCTTCCCATAAACACCACAATGCTAGTGGCCTTGTGTGTTTAGCTCTTAGTTATGATTATTATAATCTATTCTAGTGAAGGGCTTTGATTTAGGGAATTGAATCTGTGCTCCAGTTCCCCGAATTAAGCCTGAATGCCTTCCACATCCCCCCCCCCCAGGCGCTGTATAATCCTCCGGGTTTAGCACTTCCCCCTTGATTATAATAATAATAATAGTGAAGGGCTTTTGATCTTCTTGGACCACACCTCACTGTCTCCCACTCCACAAGTGCTGTATATGATTACTGATTTAGCACTTCATGTAGTGGCACTGTTCATGGGTTAGCATTAAACTCTCAGGAGTCACACACAGCCTGTGGGTATTGGAGGCACTTGGGGCTCAAGCCACAGGAAGGGCAGGTCCAAATCCTTGGCTCAAGCTCCTTGCAAGCATCAAGGAATCTTGAGCAGGATACCATTAATACTAAAATTAACAATCAACATATCTGGCACCATAGATAATGAACATGGAAGACAATGCAAAATCCTGTAAAGGGCAGTTTGCTTTAAATTTTTGGGAAACGCTGTCAATCCAAGCACTGAGTGATCTTAAAATCTGGTTTAATCCAAAGGTGGTTTCATTCCCCAGGTACTGTATGATCCCTATAGGTTTAGTGCTTACCCACAAATATAAGTACAACAATTACTAGCTACAGGGGTGAGGAGGAGTGCTAAACCCATAGAGGTTATAGTCAAGCTATCTCAAAAATTTGTACTCGACACCCAGGATACCCCTGATGCCAATAAAGGCTCATCAAAAGAACTTAAGTAATCCTTCCCTTTAAATCAAACCTGATTACCTTCTACCCCTGATGCAGTATACTCACTATACATATACCCATGTGCAAAAGATAGCACCAAAAAAAAAAAAAATTACAATAGGAGGACCTTGTCTTTCAAAACAAGGTCTAGCGACTCATTCAATAATGACTTGGGGCACCCACTTTCCCTCCAATTCTTTCAAGCGAGAGCTAATCCCTAGTCAATTTGCTGAATTTGTTAGCATCTAAAGACATATGTCATGCCAAATAGGTAAAACTTGCAATAGCAATGCTCTTCTTGCTGAAGAAAGCAAGCAAAAATTTGTGTACAATAATTTCACAAAAATCATTCTGAACCTAACAAAAAAATAATGAAATATATGTTTATTAAATTATTGTAAATTAAAAAAAATATATTTAGTTGGTTTAGATAATTAAATTGTGTTGTTTAAGGTTAGGTAAGCTGTTAGGAGTGAAATGGGACTGATGTTTTTGGGACCCGACGAACGGGTTGGAGTGTGAGCAGGGAAAATTTTTTGTAAAGGGATTCGGGGAAAACCAGTTGACGGATTGGTTCTGGAAAGGGGAAGTACAATCCCCTGCACTTTAACCCCTTAAACTGTCCAAACAGATCTATTCACATGGTATGCTCCAAAAAGTAGATCTACTTTTTTTTTTACATTTTTTCAAAGTAAAAAAACAAAGATCATTACATATTTTTTCATTTCTTTCAAAAATTTTTAAAAAAAAGAGGGTCTTGTTTGGACGTTTTTTAAAGGGGTTAAAAGGGGGGTTTGGGATATTTGGGAGTTTTGGGGGGGGGTCTAAGCTGTCACATCTGAGTGCCCCTGCAAGACTGATTTTATGGAGTGACGGTGAAGTGTTGAATGATGGTCTTTTTTTTCTTTTTGGGTCACCTACCCCGGGAGGAAAAAAGTGATGTCTTAAAGAAAAATAAAAAAAATATCTTTAAAGTTAAGAGAAAAATTTTGAAAGGGAAAATTTTAAACCAGTTTTTGATGACCACTTTTACCCTTTTTGGCCACGACCCCTTAATATTATTATATATATATATATATAAAAACGCTGGAACTGAGGGATCATGAAGAAATTTAAAAGCAAGGGGGGTATAGTTTGGGGTGGTTGGTACTTTTGTTTAATAAATAATGAAGAGGGGAAGGTACCCAGGGATTGGCAGAGAGCATGTATGTCCCCTTTTATAAAGGGGGAAAGGGGGGGCAAAAGAGACTTTTTAAAAAATTTTAGAGGAATAGTTTACTGAGTATACCAGGAAAGTGTACTGTAAAGGGTTTTAATGAAAAAATTGAGGCAAAAAACAGAAAGTAGGATTGCGGTGGCAAGGAGGTTTTGAGTGGGTAGGGGGTGTGTGTCAAGTGTTTACATTGAGCATATATTGAACAATTTTGATAAAGGTAGGAGTTTTTTATTACATTTTTGGATTTAGAAAGGCATTGTAGAGTGGATAGAGGAGCAAAGTGGCAGATGTTGCAAGTATATGGAATAGGGTAAGTTTTTAAATGTGAAAAGAGTTTTTATGGGATAGTGAGGCTCAGGTTGGGGTGTAAAAGAGAGGGGACTACTTCCAGTAAAAAGTGGTCTTGGGACAGGGATGTGTAATGTCCCCCAGGGTTTAAATATATTTATAGATGGGGTTGAAAAGGGAAAGAAATGCTAGGGTGTTCAGGAGAGGGGGGGATTAAATTTTGGGGAATCAAATTCAAAATGGAAATTGCACAGTTATTTTTTGCTGATGTGTGCTTAGGGGGAGACTAAAAAAAAAATTGCAAAGGTTAGGGAGAGTTTGGGAATGTGTTTTAAAGGTGAAAGTTGAAAGTGAAAATACAAAAGGTAAGGTGATGGGGGTGTCAAATGATTTAGATAAAGAAAAAATTTTTTACAAAATTGGGAGGAGTATGGAAAAAGTGAAAGTTTTCGATATTGGGGGTGAGTGTCGGCGGATGGATTTATGAAGGGGTGAGGTTAATATAGAATTGATGAGGGAAAAAAGGTGAGTGGTGCGTTTTTAGGTATAGTGGAGTCAAAAAACGTTATCTATGGAGGGAAAAAAGGGAAGTATGAAAGTTGTAGTACCAACACACTTATTGGGTGTGAAGCTTGGGTGGGAAATGCAGCAGCGAGGAGAGGTTTGGGGGAGGGGAGAGTCCGTTTAAGGGCAATGTGTGATGTAAATATTATGCAGAAAATTCGGAGTGTGGAAATTAGGAAAGGTGTGGAGTTAATAAAAAGTATTAGAGAGGAGAAAAGAGGGTTGTTGAGGTGGTTTGGTCATTTTGAGAGAAGGTCAAATAGATGACATGGGAAAACATATAAATCTATAGAGGAAAGGAAGAGGGGGGGGGGTCGTCCCCGAAAGGGGTGGAGAGAGGGGGTAAGGAGGGTTTTTTGGGAAGGGGCTTGGACTTCCAGCAAGCGTGTGTGGGTGTTAGATAGGAGTGAATGGTATTGGGCATGACGATTGTTTGGGTGGGCAGGGTTATTTAGGAAAGGGGTTCAGGGAAACGGTTTTTTTTATATAGTCGGATTGAGTCCTGGAAAAGGTAAATCAATCCTACACTTTAAAGGAGGGGTTTGGGATTTGGCAGTTTGGGGATATGTTTTGTTCTTTTTGGTTTTTTA